CCACCTTGGACTACGACTTTCTACAGGTGCATTTCGCACATCTCCTGTGAAGAGTTTGTATGCTGATACGCATCAAATGTCCCTTGAGAAACGGAGGCAGTACCTCAGCGTCTCTTATGCTTACAAAGTATTTTCAAATCCAAAGCATCCCTCCTACAGTGCCCTTCATGCTTGCAGAAGTTCACAACTTTTCGAAAACAAGCCGAGCATTGTTAGACCATTAAGCCTCCGTTTGCAAAGTACTTGTCAATCCCTTAATATCCCCCTCCATGAGATTCCCTTGCTTAAAAACACTCATAGGGTTGCTCCATGGGATGTTCTGCCGATTTTCTGTGACTGGTCACTTGCAAAATACAGTAAGAGGGTCATTTCACCACAAATCCTCCGGCAGGAGTTCCTCTCCTTGCAACAAAAATATGCAGACTACCTGGAGTTTTATACAGATGGGTCCAAATCGTTGTCTTTTGTAGGGTGTGCTTTCTATTCCGCCTCCTACAGCAAAGCCACACAAGTTGACTCTAGGGCAAGCATTTTCACTGCAGAGCTTTATGCTATTTTACTAGCGGTCGAACATATACTCGACAATAGTATAATGAAAGCTGTAATTTTTGTCGACTCACAGAGTGCCTTATTGGCTGTGTCCTCTCTGATGCCCACAAAGAACCGCCTTGCACAACATCTACATGGTAAGATCAATAGCGCCCTGCGACGCGGTCGGGACATTAAGTTCTGCTGGGTGCCAAGCCACGTTGGGATTTTGGGCAATGAAGAGGCGGATAAATTGGCTGTGTCTGCCCAAGGCTCGTCTCTAACATTCAATTGCTTACCTTACCAAGACTTGAAACCACTTCTGAGGAAATCTATTTTTCTCAAATGGCAGCTTGAATGGGATACAGAGAGCAACAATAAACTTCACATTATCAAGCCCGTTCTGGGCGTTTGGGAGAGCTCTTACAACAGGGAACGTCGTGTGGAGGTTCTTCTATGCCGTCTAAGAATAGGTCACTCCCGTGTGACACATCAGTATCTGCTTCGTGGTGAGGATGTTGCACTATGTGAACATTGTGGAAAGCTTCTGACCGTGTTGCACATTTTGTGGCATTGTTCGTCCCATCAACCACTCCGTCAATCATGTTTTCTTGAACTTTTTAGGGATCATCTCCCATTTCATCCCTCTTTTTTGCTTGGTGATAAACCTTTAGTTCCATTCAGCCGTGTCTTAGACTTTTTAAAACAAACTGGATATTTATACCATTTGTAAATATGTAGCCTCAAAGTAAACTTTTGTTATAATATGCTCTAAATACATTAAGTTTGGCGCATTATGGCCCTCGTTGCTGCTGCGCCAATAAACTCCTAATCATCATCATCATCATCTTGTGGCCTTGTACAGTCATAAGTTTGGCGGAAGTTATTGGATTCTGACTTTATCTCGCAAGGCAGTGTTTCCCAGATGTGCGTCATGACTCCCCTCAGGGTCACGATAGATTCGGCAAGGGTGGGGGGAGGGGGGGAGGTTGCGAAGCAGCCGGGAACTTGAAATAATGTGAACTTGACTTCAGTGGTGGCGTCGACGAAAGCAGCATACAAGTCGCAACTCAACATAGAGCTGGAACTGATAGTTGTGCACAAATTCTGCTTTGTTTTGAGAAACTGCCCTAACAAACAAGTTCACTTGAGTCATTAAGAAAAGTCATTCTTGCTGGCATGCATTGTTTTGGCTGAGGGGAATGATTTCTATTCCAGGTGATTCAATCTGACTACAGCAACTGTCAAATAGATTTTCAGCACCACGTTTGTGTATTATTATTTGAAAAGTTTGTGGCATTGCGAAAAGCAGGAAAAGGGTGTTGTTGGGAAACATTGTCATGAGAAACTGAGCCTTTGCCAGTTAGTATAAATGGCACGAGGTAGCCTTTGTTGAAACCCCACCCCTGGCTGTTACTATAAGTGCCTTCTGACACATGCATTTTTTAGAGCGCAGCTCTTAGGGGCCCGTTTCCAGCCTGAGCGGCGTCGGCGTAACCGGGGGGGGGGGGGGGTCACGTGACCCCCCCCCCCCCCTTTCTCGAGGTCATGTGACACCCCCCTCCCCCGAGATCACGTGACCCCTTCTGGGTCACGCGACTACCCGCAGGTGACGTGACCCCCCCCAGTACCCTTCCCTACTCCTCCTCAAGAGCTGCGCTCCAATTCGGCGTTACAGGGATTTGTAAACGGCTTTCATTTTTTTTTTGTTTACTTGAAGTGTTTCTTTTTTTTTTTTCCATGCATTGAAACTTTATTTGTGAGTCGGCTTGTCATGTTTCTCGTCTACCTTTCTTTACTCTTTTCTGAGCGTTAGATTTTATTGGCATTGAACGAGCTGCTCTCATTTTTAAACTGTAAAGGCCTCTTGCACACTTGCGACTTCTTAGGATATAAGCAACCATTTCTCATAGGTAGTACATACATTTGACTTCGCAAATACCGTCAGACCTGCACTCTAGTAATATGCAGATCCAGGGTCACTGCGTAGATGGCACCAGTATCTTCTCTTGTCGTAAGAAATTTTTAAACGTTTTAAGGTACTTTGTCTTAAGGCGTCGCAATTGTATGAATGGGCCTTAAAGGGATACTACAACGAAATTTCAGCTCTCTTTTCTTGATCTACTTGTGTTCAAGGGAGCAGTATCACATCAGACACACCAATTGCTTGTTGAAAAAGACACAACAAGGAATTTTAAAATAAGTTAAACGATTAGCAAAGAGCACCTGGTGGATGTCGCTAAAGCCTGGTTTGTAATGCCCCTCTAGGAATCTTGACAGGTAGTGACAATGCCTGTCTTGCCTAGAACTATACATGCCTTGAACCTGATGTCATCCCGCCAGCTCGCAGGCCACCATGAGAGAAATCGCCCACCTGGTCTTTTTTTTTTGTTTGTCCCAGACGTCGCAATTGTCCCTCTACAAGGTTATAGCAGATTAACCCTTCACTTAAAATTCTTACAGAAAGCAGCTTTGGGGTTAGTTAGGGTGGCTGATAGCTGGCCTGCTTAGACCGCTTGGGTAATTCACGGCCAGGACATCCTGTCGACGTCAGCCTCGCCGCAGCTTTGCTTGTCCCGAGACAATCTATGTCACGATTGCACCAGATGCAGGGTGTAAGATAGGCAGGTGGGGAAACGGGCCATAGAAGCCTACCGCAGCGCCGTGACCGGATTGTGTACTCGTCCGCTTGCGGGTGCCCCCCGATTTGCGACAGATAGCGCTGTGGCAAGAAGAAAAACAATCGGAATTGGATTTGCATGGAACTTATGAGAGAGTGTGCAAAATAAACCGAGAGCACGACAGTCCTCCATTGAAAGTCCACGAGAAACCATCTCCGTCAGATTAGCCGGTCGCCCACCCGGAGTGTGAGTTCGCGGTGCTCCACATAGATGGCGCCACAGAAAAAGAGAAAACCGAAGGGGACACAATCCGGTCGCTCATTTGGCTCTTGTTTTCCCACCTGTCTATCTTACACCCTGACCAGATGTCACATGCTGTGCACTGGTTGCTCTCCGAGCGCGTGCCAGAGTGGGCCGTTCATAACGAAAAATACAGCCATCAGGCTCAAAATACAAATGTGTAATTGCCATTTACGAATATTGTGGATCATATTGAGTGTATTTCTGAACATGACAGGTAGATTTCGGATTTTGTTGGAGTATCCCTCTTACCGGCTGTTCGAAAATGACGGGCTTACATGGCAACAATTTGTGGAGCCGGGCTTGTGTTATATACTTTTGCCAGTCGTGACTGAATGAGCCTAGTTACATTTGGTGCCCATTTTGATGCATCATTTTATGTTTTTCCAGCCAAGCTGAAACTGGCAAACTCAATACTTCGGTTGTATTTTGGTCGGGTTAGGTGTCGCTGCACGGAGAGAATCTGAGGTAGCAGAGTAGGCCCAAGGGCTAGCTACCTTTGCGCATTGTTCTCTGCACACTGTTCGAATGTGAGACACCACGCAAGGAACAGGTGACACTCTTGTTCGCTCCAATTAGAGGGAGACAATGGATGGAGACAAAGGCAGCGAGCCTGCGTGTCTAACCACTAATCCTTCCAGTCGGAGCTCGGCTCTCCGACGTCCCCATGCGCTCTTGCCTCCTCCCCCTCGGTTTGTTTCCGTATACTCCCCTTCACCTCAAAAATCTTAGAAGGAAAGTTTCTCTCCTTGCTTACCATCACTAACTTCCTCCTATATTAGGTGAATTAAGATACTTGTGTGTGCATTAAGACCAGCCATTTGTTGCTTTGTTGAGGCACATTTATGAAACACAAAGAACATTGTTTTTTTTATTTTCCTCCAGTGACCAAATCTTGCAAGAACCATGGGACATTCCCGAGAAAGGAGGACTATGTTTTACGGCCCGTGTAAACGAACTGCACGTTGCAGAAAGATCATCCTCTGTTAGAATGTGACGTTAGCGGTTGGGATAGAACATAAAAGTTTTAGAACATGACGTTTTAAAATTTTCGAAGTGAACAAGAGCGTTGTCTGCTGACAAATCGTTTATTTTCCACTCAAATAGATGCTCCAAGTGTGCCCACAATGTCTTTTTTTTTGTTTCTACGATATTAGGCTTAGGCAAACATTGGCTCATAGAGAAGTTTAGCCTTTCTCAATTATCTTTTGATACAGGCAACTTAATGTTCTCAATCTTTAGAGTACCATCACAATTGCTAGCGTCACATTCTCACACAGTTTCGAGCTTTCTGCGACGCATAGTTTATTTACCCGGGCCGAAAAACGCGACTCTCTTCTCTCGTGAATGCCCCGTAGTTTGCACGGCATGCAACGGGACAAACTGGCAAGGTCCACGAGTCACTGGAACGTATGGAAATGTCACACTGTCAGGTGACTTTGAGCAAAGGGGGGGAGGAAAGTGTGGCGACAGTCTTGGCGACTATGGATTGAATGGTCCTCGAGGTTGGTGTGGGAGGGTTGTGACCGGGACCGGTTTCTTGTTGCGCAGGCCCACATGAAGTTCCCCCCAGACTACCCCTACTCGCCACCCACCGTGCGCTTCCTCACCAAGGTGTGGCACCCCAACGTGTACGAGGTGAGTCGTGCTGAAAATAGACATCAAAGGCGATTGGCGAGATCTGAATTCCGTGGCTGACCGGTATAAAGTCAAAGCCGTTTATAGTTTGTTTCAACTTCGGTCCAAGCGCGGCCGATGTTATGAACCGAAAGGCCAATAAACACCGCAAAAAGTGCAGCGTCATGGCGTGCTCTCTGCGCTCGATAAGACTAGCCGGCAGAGGAGCACGCATAGAGAGGCGGCGAATACCAACTGGCCCTATCAACTGCAGAGAGCACGCCATGACATTGTGCCTCTTCCGCTGTTTGATTGGCCCTTTGGCTCATTAACACCGGCCGCGCTCGAACAGAAGCTGAAATGAAGTATAGTTGGCATCTATGTCTTATAACCCAGAGTATATTCGGGGGTCTCATAGTTTTCAAAGAAAGTTATCGAAAATAATAAATACAAGCCTAGCTTTTTAAAATTTTTTTGTTCAAGATAGGAACAAGCAACACAAAAAAGAACCTTTCCCTGTAGAAAAAAAAAAAGTTTTTAACAATATTTTGATTTTTTTTTTTTTATCTTGAGTTCTTGCTTGAGTGTTTTTATTGGGTGACGTTGACCCCGAAGTGAAGGCTTCTTTTGGAATAGCTCAAATGAATCTCACTAAGCAAATACTTTGCTACAAAGTGTTTTATCGAGTAAAGTTCATTTCCTGTGACTGCAGTCCCATCCTGGCATTAAATGCAGTGATAGGACAGTATCCCAATGTTGCATTAAAGGTGGTGATTTAATAAAAGATGATGTGGAAAGCTAAATCACTTGCAAAGCTAAGGAGAAAAAAAAAAGCATAAAAAAGGAAAGCATGAAATGATGGAACTGACTGTTGAAACATTAGTTAAAACATGTGCTAGTTCTTCAATTTACTTATAACAGCAACAAAAAAGTGGTGTATGACAGGCAAAAAAAAAGGGGGGGGGGGGAAGGGGGGGCAGAGCCGCAATGAAGTGGTGGCAGGAATCAAATTGTTTTTGCCTCAAAATCGACTTTAGATTTCTCTCTCTTTTTTTTTTTTTTACTTTGAAGTTTTGATTAAGGGCATAACATTGAGCTGCTGTTGGTGTAAGGGAACCTTTGTAAGTGTTTGTAGTATCTGCAAAGCAAAAACTATAGGTTAAGTGCATTTCGGAGCATTTTGGAGCAGTTTAAAGAAATATGCTATATTGTAAAAGAATGAATGAATTTAGAATAGCAAGTTGAGCTTGCAGTAAAGTATTTATATTTGCTAGAGGTGTGAATCATGCTTTTCTTGGGTTTGGCCATCTTTGTTGCTTTTTATGTGCAAGTCACTTGTCTTCCTGCTTCGGTACAAAAATAATAATAAAAAATAAACTTCGAACCATCTTCGTTGATTCGCATCTTCAGTCATTCCATATTTTTTGGGCAATAGTCTACAAAAGCAGATTTTAGTTGAAAATAAAAACTTTTTCTTTGGATATCGTAATTTCGCGCATATTACCCGCATTCCCAACTTGCTACACTCGGGGGAAAACAACAACAAAAAAAAACCTCGCATATTACTTGCACTAACCAAGCAAAGCAGTGTCCAGATCTTGCTAGAAACCATGCCTTTATTTTGAATGCACTCATCACTGCAGTCACTGCAGCTATCCAAGGCGCCCTCACTCTCGTGGATAGCGTAGTCGTCCATGCCATCCAGGCGATAGCCAATGCAGCACTTTTTTAAACTGCTGCGCACCATCCTGTCTGGAGAAAGGCCGCGGTCACGCCAGGTCCGCGTTGACGTGGCACAACCGCAACCTCTTTTTCTACTCTACGAACTTCGCAAGCGCTTTTTCAAGCTCGGGGTGTGCACCGGTCTTCGGACCGTAGAATGATCTTCGATCACGGCTTGCGGTTTGCAGGCTCACTGCCTTCCGTTTTCGCACAGACGACTCGTCGACGTCGTAGCGGCAGTAGTTTTTAATTTTGATGTCCTGTGCCGAAAGAGGTCAAAAACCACGAAAATCGTTGCTGTCAATGGCAGTGCACGTTTGACAGCAAAGACACTCCACGCATTCCCGTCAAATCGGCAAGAGCTCGCCTCGGCTGCTCAACCCTCAAAAGTAATGCAAACGTCGCTACGTGGAGAAAAGGAGGTGAAGGTGGGGAAGAGGAAGTCCCCAGAGGTACCGGAGAAGAGGGACTCTGGGGAATCTATCTCTACGACTTTGCGCACATTGCCGCGAAGCCGCACTGCTTGCCGAAATTTGCGTATATTCCACACTCCTACTTTGCCTTTGATCTTATGTAAATTTTGATGCGGGTTATGTGCGAGAAAATATGGTAGTTTGCACCTTGCACGCATGTAAGAAATTATCTTGCAAAGTACACTTTGACAAATGCCCGCTTTATTAGCTCACGAAGAAACTACAGTGCAATCCATTAAAAATGATACTACATATAACAATGTAATGCTTATAATGACCAGTTTCTAGAGTTTCTTGACTAGAAACTCTGTTTCTACTCCAGATATAATGATAATCGGTTATAACGATTGAACTTTCGGGTTTTCTCATTATCGTTATAAGTGGATTGCACTGTACTGTAATAAGTGAATTATCATTTTTATACTCTGTCCTTCACAAAATGTGTGGCATCTAGTGGTAACAAACAATCTAGAAAAAAGATATCTTCGTATAGTCTGCACCGCATAAATTTTCAGCTTTTAATTGTGTCTAGTCTGCAGACTATAGTCCGGAAAATAGGGTACGTAATAAATTTAATTTATATTTCGAATTGCATTCTTTGTTATTAGCTTTTGCAGTCAGTTTGGTCACACCACATATAGATAAAATCATCTCAACTGCCCCAGCACTTCCCCCATACTTGAACAAGCCAGTGTGCCTCAATCGAAACAATGTCACTGTCACACTGACAAAAAGTACAATTTAAAATAAATGTTTTTCTTCTTGCTTTATTAATACATAAAGATAGTTTTTATATTTCCGGTAAATACAAATGCCGTACTAGTCCAATTTTGTACTTTGCCCCAAAAGCAGGCACGTAGCCAGGGGGGGTGGCCCATGGGGCCTGGGGCCCCCCCCCCCTCAGAATCTTCCATTTTGCTGGGGACTCCTCTCCCCCCTCCCCCTCATACAACATTTTGTCATGAGTGCCCCCCCCCCCGAAACAAAATCCTGGCTACGTGCCTGCCCAAAAGTACAAAAGTTCTAACGAAAATTCTGCTCCTAGTACACTTAAAGGGTGCTATGCGACCACTGCGAGTTACATAACGTGCGTGATGAACGCATCACGGTCAGTGGATTTGGGACCATTTAATTTGCCAGATCATTTCACTCGGCGACGCTTAGTAAGCACCCAGGGGGAAAAAGTCTGAAGAAGTCTCCTAGCTTTGGCCAGACAAGGTCGGCGGTCGTTGGAGAGAAGGTCTGCTTTGAGAAAGAGGAGGTGACGTTTCAGCTGCAAAGTTTGATTGCAAAGTCCTCGGTAGATGGCTTTGGAGGCCCTCGCCCGTTTTGGGTGTCAAGCAAGGTCTTGGCAGAGCCGCATATGGGGAGATTTCGGTCATCTCGCTGCTGCAACGCCCTCCTTTTGAGTGAGCCAATCAGCCCGCGGCGCAGAGCGAGAGGCGTGAGCGCATGCGCGTGAACTCCCGGCTGCTCCCAGCTGAGCGGGGAGGGCTGCCATTTTCGGTCATTCTCCCGGCGGCATGCATGGGCTCGGATCTAAATTTCGATTATTTCCTTTTATATCGCTGGCTCTGGCAAGAAAATGATATACTGTTATTCCATGGTAGGTTGAAAAGCTAAGAAATGAAGTTTTTTCGACGTATGGCCACAAACTTGTTCAGGTGAAAAAGAAGTTGGCCCGTAGCAGACGACGCGTAATCTCAGCAGTGCTCTTCTCCGACAGTGTTGCGTAAAAATGGCGGTCGTCTCCTCTCTGCTACCTTCTTTCTCTCTCGCTCCTTTGGCGCTCTCCTCCCTTTCATGTACTTTTCTCCTCTCCGGCGCCTTCGTCGCCACACCCGCTGGCCAAAGTCTCCCAATATACGGCTCTGAGTCTTGGGTGTCTCTTCAATGGGATTGTCTCTACTGTGCCCCCACAGAATGGAGACCTGTGCATCTCCATCCTGCACCCGCCCATCGACGACCCTCAGAGCGGGGAGCTTCCCTGCGAGCGTTGGAACCCCACCCAGAACGTCAGGTGAGTCTGCCATCTTTTTTTCTTTTAAAGGATCCGACTCCATCTAGGACAACCATTTACCCATTGCAGTACTTTTTTTTTTAACAATTTTGTTTTAGTGATTGCGTGTTTTTCAAAAGGGATAGCAAAAAGAAAGAGGCAATGTGCAGATATCTTTTTTCAGTTAATGGGAGCACGTACAGTTCTTGCAAGCTGCCCAGATTGGGAGGCATAGAATGGAGTTCTCGAGGGTGAAAAGTCGTCGCCTTTTTTCTATGTGGTCGCATTTCGGCACGTGCTCTGACGCAAGATTTCGGTGGTCTCGGCTTCCGTGCTGGAGGTACTTTACGGAGCTTCTCCGTCGGATGACGACCTTTCGTCCCCTGAACTCAATTATAAGAAGTGTTCAAAGTCTGAATCTAAAAAGCCGGCATTCTGATTGCCACTACCGTCGGGGCGGCCAACACGTGAAGTGACTATCTTGCAAGTTTTGCGTGGACAGGGTATCTAATTATGAAACGACAAATAGCCCTGGCAATCCGAAGCAAGGTACACATACAATATTTATATTGCATTAAAACTTGGGTTTGGGCTAGTTGGCCCATTACTGAATAAAAGGTTAAAAAGCGCGAGCAAACGAGGACAATAAAGAAACACGGACGACAGGACAGGCGCTTCTCTCAACAGTTGAGAGAGAAGTGCCTGTTTTGTCATCCGTGTTTTTTTATTGTCCTCGTTTGTTCGCGCTTTTTAACACAATATTTATAGTTGTATGCTGGCCACAGAATGGCGGCGTCCAGGGACCGCACTCGTGAATGCGTGCGGGTGTGAGAGCTCTCTCCCGGGTGTGTGCAGGACAATCCTGCTGAGCGTGATCTCTCTGCTCAACGAGCCCAACACATTTTCGCCGGCCAACGTGGACGCGTCAGTGATGTACCGCCGCTGGAAGGACTCCAAGGGCAAGGACAAGGAGTATGAGAACATCATACGGTAAGACCCAAGCTGGAAAACGACGTCCGCAGCCAAAGCGCCTCTCGCCTGCCCTTCGCTCTCGTTCCGGGGTGATATTGCAGACGCTGCGGGCTGTGGTTGTATAGTGTGATTCCACGAGAGATTGAACCTGCAGGTCCACTCAACATTTTTATTTTTTCCGTTTTTTTTTATATGTGATGTACATACAAATGAATTGCACGAAACTGAACTTTTTTTTCTCAAAAACGCGTTTTTGCTACGAGAAAAAAAATGTTTCAAGTTTGCGCGACGGCCCTACTCTCACCGTGGACTGCATTAGTTGCCACCTTTGCAGTCCTGTGGAAGGCAGGCAAAATGTGTAGGCGAAAAATATTTCCTGTTTCATGCAGTGCACCAAAGTTTACGGCATGCAATTATTACATGCTTTGTGAATAAAAAAAAAATTAATAAAAAATGTATAACTTTAGACCAGGCGCAACAAATACACTAACTTTCAGGCCTTCTACCTCAGTATGTATGGTATTAGCGACTTTGAAAACTATACATAATATAGACTAGGGCATCTAAATTAAACCTGCAAAATATAAACTTCCAATAAAAATAGAAACAGAAAAAATATTTTGAAAAAATATATTTAAAAAAAATACCCATACTGAAATACAAAATAAAAAAATTGCGGTGGCTTAGCTCAGCTATGCCAGGGTGTACGTTGTGTGAGTTTATGCGCACAAGATGAGAGGCGCTATCAAGCAGCTCCGGTGCAGCTTCAGACTTGGCTACTGTGCAACGGAGGCGCACAGCTGGGCACGCGGCGGCGCCAGTGCGTCTGCCGCGGCTATGGTGTCACTCCTCTGGAATGCGCAGACCGGCGAGGCAAGCGCGGCGGCGGCTCCGGCGCACCAGCTGTGCACCGTGTGATGTCACTGCTCCTCGCACATGTGCAGCACGGAGCACGGCTTATGCGAGCTACGCGAAACAGCTCAACCTTGGCCAGTGTAGCTCACGCTACAAAAAAACCCAGCGTCGATTTTATTAAAACTCGGGGGTACAACTCTCCTGTAGGCCAGCCAAAAAGAATGTACAAAAACGTGTTGCATCATTTGCTTGGTACAAAAGTTCTGAGCAGTCAAAGTGGCGGTTGCGAAGCGTCTTGACTCCAACGTTTTTCGCTTCACCCCACTGTTGTTTTTTTTTTAATTTTTTTAGGAAAATTTTTTTGTTACAAATCAGGAATTTATGTGTTGTAGCTTGCTGTAATAAAAAGCATCTTTCCATATTTTTTTTATTTCTTTTTTCTTGTGGTTGTTTACGGGCACTCATGAAAGTTTACGCTCCTTAATCGCGCTTGGACTTCGCTTGTCTCGTTTATTAAAACTGTAGGAAATAAAAGAATGGCGCCTCGGGTACAAGGCTATGGGCCGCTTATGTTACCACAAAGCCAAGGAGGAGGTTCATTTACAGGTTCATTTACGTTTGCCACGTGGTATATGTGGTTCAGGGTCACTGTCGAGAGCTAGTAAGATATTTGAGCTCACGTGCGCCGGGACAAACGTACACATCACCCTTGGCTCCGCAGTAACATAAGCGCCCCGTACCTTTGTACCCAAGGCGTAGTGCCCCTATTCTCTAGCGTTCTAATAAACTAATGAACGAAACTTGAGTACACTTCAGCCTAACTCCTGCACGGACAGTTGTTCATGTGCTTCTCTCCTTACATCTAAAGACGTAACAACGACTTAAATATGACGGCTCGTCAACGCCTCCCCTTGAAGAATATTTGGAGAATCCACAACTCTGGGTGCATCAAGGGGGATTACTGCGACAGTTCTGCTAAACTCTTTTCAAATGCGCGGTGGCAGGGTTTGTGTCGGCGCGTCAGTGATGTCATCTGGATGTTTCTGTGTTTGTGCATGTATGCCCAGGAAAGGCGCAGACGCAGAGCTTCACTGCGTGCAAACTTTGGCTCCGCCTGGTTCGCGGCCACTGGCGTTGGTCGTCAGCGGGGGATCTCCTCGGTCGCAACAGCATTGCGAAACCTTCGGGCTTCAGTTGGTTTGGCGGCGCAGACGAAGCAACGGGAGAGGCGACAGACGTCGCCGTTGTGCACTCAATGCACGCACGACATACTAGCTCACTCAGAGTTTTTTGAGCCGATTACCTCCGCGCTCACAAGAAGAAGATACCTTCCAACAGAAATTTTCACAGTGTCAAGCGTCTAGATGTTGAATTACTGCGGGTGCCGCATGCTACCAGGATCTGGTAATTTGCAAGATACAGACCAGCAGGTCTGCCAGCACCGCTTTGGGCGCCCGAAGGTGCTCCTATCCTCATCGACCGGCACACCTGATGAAATCGACAAGACATTTCTTCAGGAAGAAAAGCAGTCGACCTGACCAGGTACGTCCAACTTTCCAAAGTTTATCTGTTGAAGCTAGAATCTTCCATTGGGAAACGGCTCAGAAAATCTAATGGGTAGAGAAAACAGGCAGAGATTAAAAAGAAAGTGTTGACAAAAATACGCGCAAGTTGAAATATCACCTATGTACTTAAACATAAGCGTATTTTTGTCAGCACTTCCTTTTCAATCTGTGCCTGTTTTCTCTACCCATTAGATTTTCTGAGCCGTTTCCGAATGGAAGATGCTAGCTTCAACAGATAAACTTTGGAAAGTTGGACGTACCTGGTCAGGTCGACTGCTTTTCTTCCTGAAGAAATGTCTCGTCGGTTTCATCAGGTGTGCCGGTCAATGAGGATAGGAGCACCTTCAGGCGCCCAAAGCGGCGCTGGCAGACCTGCTGGTCTGTATCTTGAAAATTACCAGATCCTGGTAGCATGCAGCACCCGCAGTAATTCAACATCTAGACGCTTGACTGTGAAAATTTCTGTTGGAAGGTATCTTTTTCTTGTGAGCGCGGAGGTAATCGGCTCAAAAAACTCTGACTGAGCTAGTTTGTCGTGCGTGCTTTGAGTGCACAACGGCGACGTCTGTCGCCTCTCCCGTTGCTTCGTCTGCGCCGCCAAACCAACTGAAGCCCGAAGGTTTCACAATGCTGTTGCGACCGAGGAGATCCCCCGCTGACGACCAACGCCAGTGGCCACGAACCGGGCAGAGTCAAAGTTCACGTGCAGTGAAGCTCTGCTTCTGCGCCTTTACTGGGCATACACGTGCAAACACAGAAACGTCCAGATGACATCACTGACGCGCCGACACCAACTCTGCCACCGCGCACCCGAAAAGAGTTTAGCTGAACTGTCGCAGTAATCCACCTTGATGCACCCAGAGTTGTGGATTTTCCAAATATTCTTCAAGGGGAGGCGTTGTTGAGCCGTCATATTTAGGTCGTTGTTACGTTTTTAGACGTAAGGAGAGAAGGCGCATGAACAACTGTCCGTGCCGGAGTGAGGCTGAAGTCTACTCGAGTTTCATTTATTCGTTTATTAGAACTGTAGAGAATAGAGGCACGACGCAGGTACAAAGGTACGGGGTGCTTATGTTAGGGCAGAGCCAAGGAGGATGTGTATGTTTGTTTGCCCCGAGACAAACATGTGCTCAAATATCTTGATAGCTCCTGACAGCGACAGCAACTGCCAACCACTTCTACCACCACATGTACCACGTGGCAAAGGTAAATGAACCTCCTCCTTGGCTTCGCGGTAACATGAGTGCCCCATAGCCTTGTAACCGAGGCGCTATTCTTTTATTCCCTACAGTTTTAATAAACGAAACATGCAAAGTCCAAGCGCAATTAAGAAGCGTAAACTTTCATAAGTGCCCGTAAACAACCACGAGAAAAAGAAATAAAAAAAGAAATCTGGAAAGATGCTTTTTATTACAGCATGCTACAACACATAAATTTCTGATTTGTGGCAAAAAATTAGGGGTGTGCGAATACTCGAATATACGAATTCGAATCGAATAGAAAGTTCCCGAATAATTCGATTCGCGAATCGAATTCCTAGTATTCGGTCACTCGAATATTCGATATATTCGGCCAAAGACGCGCAGTCGCCGCGGAGCTGACAAAAAAAGCCGTTTTTCCCCCGATGTATGCGCCGTGTTGTTAGACAAATCATGTGAAAAACAGCTCTTGGTCCTACCATTCCACAAAACTCTAACACACAGGTTAGTAAAAAGAAAAGTAACGAACGCCACGAACTTTATAGTACGCAGATTTACTCACGATCGTGATACAACCTACCCTTAAATCACAACCGAAACATCCCGTTTGCGCCGCTTCCAGAGAGGAATTGTTGGGAGGCCGAATTCCCGCGCCATGCCTAATTCTTTTCACGAGTAAAGCCCCTCGTTTCAAATTGAAGCACCGATGTAAAACACACTTGCCGCACTCACAGAAATCGGCGACTGCACGATCACAGAAAGAAAACCACGTTAAACACGCCGATAAAACCAGCCGAGTTATCGTCGTCGTTCTTTTGGAACCTTAAGCCACAAATTCTGATTCGGAACGAAACGGAACGGGAAAATGGTGTGCCTAGATTTGAGAGGGTTTCCAACCGTTCGATAGCAGCCAACGTTACTAAAACACTCATTTGGGAAACTCCCATAGAGACAGCCCTAAAAATATGGCCCCAATCTTTCTCCGAGCACCGAGCTAATGACGAACACAACGCCACCATTTCTCCCGCAGCGGCCACTCGAGCAACTGCACGTGACCTCTATTTTTGGCTTTGACAGGGGTAACCCCTGTCTCCCCGGCGGACGCGCCGCGTTAATCTACTGAAGTTAAAATGCAATTAGGTCGGGACGCGCTACCTGAAAGGCCCGCTGAGGCATGGTTTTATAAAAACAATATTAATTGTTCCGCAAAACCTTGCGAACTAAAGATGATAAAAACATCACGCGCCCATCATTGGTACTAAACTCCAATAAATTTCATACAAAAAGAGTCTTTTCCGTTTGTTTTTACGCAAAAAACAGGCTTTCAAAAAGCTCGGGGTGACCATAGTACAGACAAACGAAAAAGAGTGGCGCTGTTGTCGCATTTAGCTCGGTCTCGGTGGACGCCAGCGGCCCAGGTTTCGACGGCGAGTTTCCCAACTGAGTGTTTTAGTAACGTTGATAGCCGCGTTTGAATTACGAACTGCGAGAAGGTGACGAAAAAACGAAAGCGTCGATCGGGATCGGGCAGGCAGGCAGGGCAGGGAGAGTAGGCGTCGTTGCCCTTCTGTTTGCTCGCCTTTTTCCTCGCGACAATACAACACATGCGCACTTACGACCTATCTGCACTGGAGCCGTCTCCGTGGTTTCAGTTTCGCTTGCTCCCTCTTTTAAATCAAGGCTCTCTAAAACAGGATAGATAGACGGAAAAATGGATGCATAGCGGCAGTTGGACGGTGTCTTGCGCCACCTAACCACGCTTTTTTTTTCTTACTTCAGATTATATTGTTTAAGCCTGTTTTCTAAGATTTAACACCTATCTGTTTATTTACGTGAAATAACATCCCGGGTGCCCTTTTTCTTCCTTAAAATGAAAACCAAATATCGCAAAATGCCCCTTTTCTGAGATATGCAAACATTTATAAAAAAAAAAAAAGTTGTGGTGTTAGGTTGGGCTTAAAAAAGGCATGCGTGGCTGTAACTTCGGTTTTTTTGTGACGTTTAGGGAAGATAGATTATATTTGTGCCATAAAATTGGATCTTTAGTGCCCAACATCCAACAGCAACTGCTTTTATTTTTTTTTTTTTTTTTTCACCAGAATTTTTTTACATTTTGGCTTTTGTTCTGCACAAGATGCATATTCTGCAACAGGTGCATACTCTGCACATATAATAATCTCATTTGCAGCACACTTTGAAGAATTCCTACAAATAAAATCACTATTCAATATTCGATTCGATATTCGTCTTTTTTTTTCTTGATTCGATTCGGTATTCGATTCGAAAACTACTATTCGGTATTCGCACACCCCTACAAAAAATACTTTTCCTAAAAAAAAATAAAAAACAACAACCAGGGGTGAAGCGAAAAACGCCAGAGTCAAGACGCTTCGCAACCGCCACTTTGACTGCTCAGAACTTTTGTACCAAGCAAATGATGCAACATGTTTTTGTACATTCTTTTTGGCTGGCCTACAGGAGAGTTGTACCCCCAAATTTTAATAAAATCGAAACCGTTTTTTTTTTTTTTTTTTTTTCAATATGAGTTTTTTTTTTTTAAATGTGTTTCTTCAAAATATCTTTTCTATGTTTCTATTTTTATTGGAAGTTCATATTTTGCAGGTATAATTTAGATGCCCTGGCATATATTACATATAGGTAGTTTTCAAAGTCGCTACTGCCATACATATTGAGGAAGAAGGCCTGAAAGTTAGTGTATTTGTTGCACCTGGTCTAAAGTTATAAATTTTTTATTAATTTTTTTTAATTCATAAAGCACATAATAATGTCATGCAGTTGACTTAAACTTTGGTGTACTGCATGAAATAGGAAACATTTTTGGCCTATACCTTTTTGCGTGCCTTCCACAGGAGCGCAAAGGTGGCAACTAATGCAGTCCGCAATGAGAGCAAGGCCGTCGCGCAATCTTGAAACATTTTTTTCTCGTAGTGAAAACGTGCTTTCGAGAAAATAAAGTTTAGTTTCGTGCGATTCATTTGTGCGTAAATCACATAAAAAAAAAAAACCAGAAAAAATAAAAATTTTGAGTCTACCTGCAGGTTCTCTCTCCCCTGGAATCACCCACTAGATAGATAGATGGATGTGGGAAAGGAAAAAGGAAGTCAACATTGTCAAGAGGGAAGCTTGTGCGAGTTGGTGATTCGGATTAGCAGCAACGGCGCAGAAAGACCGGACAGGAAAGGAGGGGAGACTCGGAAGGACAATCTTGTCTGTCCTGAATTGTCCTTCTGTGCGTATGCTTTTTTGTCTTTTTTTTGCACCGTTCCATGCTAACATACGTCGACCCTGCTCATCAGGCTGGTCTGCTACTTTGTTTTGAAGGGGCACTCAAGTGGAATCTGAGATTGTAGTGGAATCTGAGATGGTCTATTTATGGGCTCTAAACGTCCTAAAAACAAAGAAGAAATTACACTCGTGGCCGGCCGTTTTCTCTTTTAAAAATCTAATCGAAGATTGTGACATACCTCTCTTTCTGTGCCTTTGAGCAGACATTAGGAGGTGTTATCAGACGGCATTTTAAAGCAGTAATTGCTGCATTGCGTATCTTACACCCAAAGGTGTTGTGTTTTTGTCACTATAGAATGCGCAACGCAGCTAAAAAGAGCAATAATAGTAGACGACAATCATCCCGGGAGAAGGGGAACAAGGAGGACAAACACAAATCTTCAAACGCAGCTAGGTGACTGATGTATTAATTGCATTATCATGATAGCATCAAAATGCAGGCTGTTCACCCTTGTTGGTGTTTGACCGGTGGCAGCTAACAAAACTTGTCTGCTCCACTGACATCTAACTCCTGGTTAGCTCAGTCGGTAGAGTCTCCATTAAAAATGGAGATGTCCCTGGTTCGATTCCAGGGCCAGGTGGATTTTTTCAGTCGCGCACCAGTCACCTAGCTGTGTTTGGAGATTTGTGTTTGTCCTTTGTTCCCCCTCTCCCGGGATTATTGTCGCTATTCTTGTCCAGCTCTCTTGCACCTTCGCATAATTGCATGATCAAATAATAGTAACACTTAGAATCTCCATACACATATTTTCATTGGTAAAATTTTATGCAGGTGGTATCACAAAAGAGAGAAAAATAAAAAGAGGGACAGTGTAGCACGATTATTTTGACTATGACAACCCTCCTTCTCTGTGAGATCCTTGTAGAACCTTAGCAGCCCTCTGGAAATCCTGAAACATGCACTGAAAGTTTACATGTATGGCTGGCGTCCAGATTGACTAGTTGCTTCAGTGGATTTCTAATTATGCGGTAAGAAGTAAGTAATCCCATAAGCTTGACAAAAGCTTGACAAAAGCTTGAAGAAATGATGTAAAGGCACCGCTTGTGCTTAGAAAATCAGCTACAGTCTATCATTATCTGTTATTGATGCATACTGCACGAGCCATCATGTCATAAACGAAGCACTGAAGAAGTAAATGATGTGGAAACTTGGAGGGCCACATGCGAAGCGCAGGGAAACACAAGTGCCAGCGGCTGGCGCCTTACGTTATGACAAAAGGGGTACCTCTATTTGGGCCCGCGCCACTGGCTTAGGCTTGCCGGGATTTGACCACCCAAAATCGCTGTAAATATGAGCACCTGCTTTCAGGGAAAGCTACATAGCTCAGAGCACAGACAAAACCATGTCCTTGATCATTGCACTCCCTGGCAAAATAAGTTTCTATGTAAATATGCGAGTAACAGAAGAAACTTAAAACTAGATATAAATCAGTTTAGGAACCCCATCTCCGATTTGGGAATAAGAGTAACTTCAAGGCTACTGCGTTGTAACTTTGGAAGGCAACAGTTCTTTTGTTTTCTTACCATACCCTTGATTGTAGCTGCTGTGGTGTAACTTTGAAAGCAACAGTTGTTTTTGCTTGCCATACTCAGCTGCTACAACTTAGGAAGGCAAAATTTTTGTTTCTTTGCTTGTCATACCCTTTATTGTAAAGATTTTTGGGGGGCTACTTGCTGTTTCTGACGTTTTTACTCCTCCCTTTGTCCCCCCCTCTCGTCTTCCGGGACTCCTGCTTTGCTTGCTTACCTCCTTGGTGTCTGGCTGCACCCTCCAATCGGTCATTCATTCTCATCTTCTGTGCGTGTACTCTGCTATTACTTGTACAAATCCATTTTGCACATCATGCACTGTTTTGCAAACTCATTTGTCCGTACGTCTGGCCATTCGTCGTGCATTCGTGTATTTTGGCTTGTACTTCGTTGCTGACCTCCATTTTCTCGGATTTGCCTGTTTTGTTGTGCATTTACTCATTTCACGCACACCTAAACATTCATCTTTCATTCCTGCAATCTTGACCTGTTTTGCTCATACATCGTTTGTAATCTTTCTTGTCAATATTTTTTTAAACACGCTCATTTGGTGCGTGTTCTTCCTGCTAATTTGTTTTTTGTGCACGCCTGAATACTTTTCTTTTATTTCTGCAATCTGCTCTGCGTGTCCATCCCTTGTGCACGTTGTTGCCAATTTCTTCCCACACTTTCCCTCGCTTGCTGCATGTTTTTGCAAATTTGTTCCTCGCACTCCTGAACATTCGCCCTGGGTTCGTGCCATCCGTTTCGCGCGCTCATGCACTGGGCTCTTCGTTGCAATTTCTTTTTTTTCTTTTTTTCGTGCATTCACTCGTTTATTTTGTGCTTGTCTCCTGTCATTCCTGCAATTTGTTCTGCACACCTATTTACTGTGCCCTTTTGCCGATTTTCTCCTTCCCGAAATTCCCCCGTCTGACGTGTGTTCCGTCTGCTAATTCATTTCTCTCATGTCTGAACACTCGTCTTGTGTTTGGGCAATCTGTTGTGCCACATACCTCCACTCTGCTTTTTGTTGCAATTTCTTTTGTCCACATGTACGCCCGTTCGCTGTGTGTTCCATCTGCTAATCAATTTCCTGCCTGCCTGACCATTTGTCTCGTTTCCATACAATGTTGAGATGTTCTTTTTCCACGCATTCACTCACATTCACTTGTTTGTCGTCTATTCGTCTGCTAACCCGTCTTGCACACTTATCTCGCCCTCTGTTGCCAACACATTTCTCATCGTCGTTGACTTGCACGTCCGTCCCTTCGCCACCTCTCTCCCCGCCCTGCAGAAAACAGGTGTCGGCGACACGTCTGGAGGCGGACCGCGACAATGTGACGGTGCCGACAACCATCGACGAGTACTGCGTCAAGCACCGGCAGAAAGTGGTGGACGAGTCGGCCACCTCGGCCGAGGCGGACATGACGGACTTCTACGACGACGACTACGACGACGACGAGCTCGACGACGAGGAGGAAGAGGAAGAAGAGGACGAGGAGGATGAAGGCCGCGGCACCGACGGTCATCACCACCACCACCACCACAACCACATCCACAACCGGAGCAGCAGCGGTGCCGAGGCGCCACAGTACCGCGCCGACGACGACGATTCGGGCAACGGCGAGTCCTGATCTCCGGCCCCCGCCCACCGCCCAACCGCGTCGCGTTACCGAGGCATCGGGAACCAGGCGAAAGATGGCCGCCACTCTTCTTTCGCCGCGCGCTCTCTTTCCGTCTCTTTGTTAGGGCTGCCGGCGACTCCGAGGCGAAGGTACCGAGAACCGGGCGAAAGACGGCGTGCGCCGCCCTTCTTTTGCCGCCACACTCTCTCTCTCTCTTCGTTGTGGCTCCCGGAGACCTCGCGCATAAATTGGCTGCTGCTGGCTCGCGCGGGCCGCCGCGTAGCCCGTCCAAAAGTTGGCGCGTCGATCCCCGAGAGTTTTGCGTCTGTTCCACCCCGTGGACCTGGTTGATTTTTTTTCTTTTAGGTTTGCGTTGGTTTTTTTTTTTTTTTCAGCCGTAGTGGCAGTGTGAGTCGATTTTACCTCTTTTTTGTTGTTTCTAGGCTTGTAACAGCTCTGTCGGTACTTCGCCGTTGGGTGGCTTTTTTGCCATTGTTTTTAGAGTTGGTTTTGTTTGGTGCTTTCGAATGTGTCTTTTTTTGTTTACAGGGAGAGCTGGGGGAGGGGGGATGCCTTTCTTGCTCTTTTGAAAAGGCTACGACTAGTTCTCTTCGTGGTGGCTTCTCGTGAAAAGTGTTTTTTTAGGCCTAGGACATGGCTACGTCGTGCGTCTGCCCGGAGATTGTTACCTCCGGTCGATCAACCGCCGTCTCTGGGACATTGATGGGGGCGCGTTTCTAGGAGGCTGATCTTGAGCAGTTTGCAGAGTTGCTCTTTGGTGTTTTCTTGTATCCAGCCGAGCGGCGGCTCTTTCGGGTATGTCTGAGGCCCCAGAGTCTGTGAAAACTGCCCTCTCTGGGAACTGCTCGCTCCGATAGCGGCTTCTTGAAGTGACTGCGTTAAACGCACTTCGTTTGTCAGGTCTAGTTGCCAGGATCTCTCGTTTTCTCGTTCTCAAAGCGGCCGCGGCTTCATTTTTTTTTTTCCCCGTTAATTTAAGAGAACTATTTATAAACTTTGCGTGATGTGCCCGAGACGCTCGGCAGTTGCTCTTGCTTTCTTCTTTTTTTTATTGCCGGAGTGTTCTTTTTACTTAGCCGTCGGTTTGTGCAAATGTCTCTTGTATGGTTTCTTGCATGGCGAATCAACGAGAATGTTGTAAAAATGGGTGTGTGTATCTGGCTACAAACTTCGATGCTTCTACGGGAAGAATGCAGGATGGCAGTGACTTACGACAATAAACTGGTTGAAGAATGCGTAAGCACTGGACGTCGTGTGTGCTTTGGATGCGCGACCCAAATCTCGGAAGTCTGGAATCCTAGAAACTTGGAACGCCAGCTACACCCCATTCGTGCCTAAGCCGGCAACTGGGGGGGGAAGCTGCGTGCTTGCCGAACCAATCGTACGTCTAGCCTTCTTCCACCCATGCGCGGAGCGGGGTCGGGCAACGAACAAGAGGCGTTTGATTGGACTGAAAAGTGCGTAGCTCCCACCGCATCGTCGGCTCGGGGGTGAACGGAGCATGAAGTCAGACAGACTTGCCAAGCTGGGACGTGGCTCGCGACGAACGTATCCGTAACTCGAGGTATTCGGCAAGCCGGGTTATCCGAGCGCACTCTGAGAGCGTCTGGAGTGGAGAGGTTTCACCACGGACAAACGACGAGTTGATCGCCGGTCGTCATCTTCCCGTCGCTTTTAGGTCTTCCGCAGAACCCGTTGCAATCCCCTTAGTCGAGGCACGTGCCTCGAATGCATCTCCGATTGACGCGTTTACCGCATCCTCGGCTGCGGTCCTTCAATCTCTGCCCGGCGACGTCGCAGGCGTCGTGCTGTTGGCGGTCGCTCGTTCTGCTTTAGACCACTCTTCGGCTTTACGACCCACAAAAACTTCGACAGCCGCGAATTTTTTGCCGACTACCGGATCAAGATATCTGACAGCACGGCGTGCCAGCCACTGTAACAAAATACTCTTCACTTCGTGGTCATTTGTGATGCGCGGCCGATTGAGGACTCTGAACACGCCGGTCGAAGACGCATCCCATAACCATTGACTGCTTCTGAAACACTTGGCTTGCTATGCTTTTGCTTTGTGATTCATTGTTCTGCGTTTTTATCGGTTAACGCCGCAATTTGATTGGCCGCTGGGCGATAATGACGTGCCCCTGCTCCTTGTCCCTTGGTAGAGCTCTGTGCCATGGGGGCTGTCGGCTGGAAAGCCTGGCAGGCGACGCTGGCGCGTGAGCGTGCTTTTTGCGCGCTTGCCTATTTTCGCCGGTACGGCGCTGACTGGCCTGCCAGTTTATGCCCCAGCGACGATATTAACGAATTGAAGGGCTGTACCACGGTCCAGAGCAGGGCTGGGCAGAGATACTTCAAAAAGTATTCGGGAATACAAATACTTAAATACATGTGCTTTAGGGCTCAAATACAGATACTGAGATACATTTGTCTTTTACGCAATGGGATATCCCTGAGATACTTCAGCAGAAACGGCGCTAAAGTATTCCGGAATACAGATACAGATACTCGTAGAAATACATTTGATCCTGAATGGTGCTTTGTGGGGAGGGTGTAGTTTCTGGCGAATGTGAATGGTAACTTATGCGTGTTCTCCTTTTTTTGTGCCAATTTATGCACTACCCCTTGCCTCAAACTCTTAGTTTATCATTAAAGCTGCTAAAAAAACCATGTTACCCCCGTTGACCCACATAGTTACAGAACAGTAAAGACTGCTTGTCATGCTTGACAAAAGGCGTGAGTCCGAAATGAGCCCTGTTTTGCCGTGAGGGCTCATCTCAAATTGTCGTCTTGTATGCTTTTGAGTAACCCATGGTGTGGGGAGATTGGACAACAAGGTTGTACTTTTTCTCCACTCAACTCCTTTACAGCGATCGCTTTGCTAAATTGGAAACGGTGGAGTGCTTTGCGAGTGCAGTTGATTTTGTTATTCTTGCAAGTTACCTTCTTTAAACCAAAGTTTTTCTTTTATGTCAGTGACTGAGTTAGTTTATGTTATCGGGCGGGTTCATGTTATAAATTCCGAAGCACTTTGCACTAAACACATGTTTTTATCCTTTTAAGTTATCTTAAAAACGGCAACAAATGTAACGAGATACCTAAGTCTGGCAAAGTATCGTGATACAAGCGATACATTGTGAATGTATTTCACTGCTGAAATACAAATACATTTTTCAGATGTATCACGATATAGATACAGACACTTGAAGGTATCTCAAAGATACTATCGCGATACATTTGTATCGCAATACTGCCCAGCCCTGGTCCAGAGGGACTTGCCAGTGATCTGTGCGTGTGGCGTAACAATTGGAGATTTTGGCTTACTGCGTGATAAACCCGTAGGGCACTTTGTGAACCTGATGGGGGGACGGCCACTCCCACGAGGTTTGGTACTTAAAAAACTGGGTTCTACGACAAGTGATACTGGCAAGACTGGATGTTCACCTCACAGTCCCTAAATACCGGTTGGGCCCTGGGTGACCTGACTGAAGCCCACCGAGGTCCCATGAAAGTGTCGTGACTGAGGTGCGCCTCTTCGTGCCTGCATACGCTACTAGAGCAGGGGTCTCAAATTCATTCGACTGGGGGCCAACATAAAGTGGGGGGAGGTCAGTCCAGAAATTTAATAGGGAAGCGGCCTTTTCCTCTGATTTTCATTAACTCGCAGTACAGTGACATCCTCAGCTTTGATTTGTTTATAGGACCACTTTGGTATCTTACCTGATGTGATAAAAAGAACTAAAATGGCACCGCCCTGTCAACATGCTGGCCTTTTTTAATAAAACGAGAGCCTGCATGCTCGTTCCTGTAGCTCAGTTCACCCAAAATTAAAGGGGCCCTGCAATGACCTTTTTACTAATTTTTAAATTGCACCGAACCTGAGTGCACTGAACATAGTAACTTAGTTAAACTTTTCTTTTCTCGAAATTCCCTTTATTTTAGAAGTTATAGGCAAATTAAAATTACAAAAAACAAGCAAAAAATAACCTCCCCATGACGTCCTTGGTTGCTTGAGAGTAGCCGTGAACTAGAGGAGAAGTAGTGGGCTCATCGAGCGCTCACGGCTGCCGCGCTCCGAGTCGACGGCGCGAGAGGGCGCCACTGAAGCATGTTCTCGATATGTTGTATGCAGCGGGCAGCCAGAGCGGCTCTCATTGCATTTGCTGCGCGATTAAAGGCTAATTCGGCATGACACTTCATTGGCCACAAACGACAGCAAACACGGGGTAAAGATCAGTTCAGATAGGGAGCTACTTTGCGCTGCCACACCGCGAAACGGCCAAAACGCAAGACAAAGCTTCTCGCCGAAGGCCTTCGGAACGCTCGGAGCCGGTCGGATGCTCCTGCCCAAACGACCGCAGCGCCGCCGCGTACATCCGGGACCTTTCCGTGTCGGCGCCTCATCCCACTACTCTTTTCTAGTATGCGCCGCCTTTTCCACCGCTTGGTGGCGGGCATGTCGACGGGTCATTTCTTGTTTCCGTACTTTATGAACTGCATTCGTTTCTTTTTTGATCTAAAATACTGAACGAAAACTACTTTTATAAATAAGTGAAACGGTTCGCGCCACTTATATTTTGTATTTCGACTAAAAAGAAGCTTTTAGCGGCTCTGACCAGTAGTAAGCCCAGGACCAAAGACGTCAGATTTTGCGCGCTTTCGGTACCGTGGGTCGGTGGAGGAGGTTTCCGCGTCGTCCGGTTAAAATATGACGCACTGATATTTAGTTACTCTCCCCGTGCCTGCTGGCTTGCCCGAACCCCAAGAGACGTGGAAACTGCAAAAAAGGTGGACGCTTAAATATAATTGCAGGGCCCCTTTAAATAAAACTAAAATAAAAAAAAAAAAAAAAGAAACCTTTATATTAGTTTTAAAGGAGGCATTTTCTGAAGCTGACAAGTTTGAGCTCCTATCGTTATCTTTGGCAGCAGCTGCTGCTTGCTGAGCGAGAGTTCGGGGAGCAGAGGTCTGTCCTTGAGCAAAGAGAATTGCGCTTGCTGCCTCGAATAAACATCGCAAAACGACTGGGAAGCAGAAATGAAAACGAAAAACAAGGCACATATAAACAGAATAGTAGAAACTGCGAATACATTATAAGAGCAGGGCTATGCTTTGAGCAACGTTGAATCGGCGACATTGATTATTGCTCGTGCCATTTCCAGCTCTCCAGACATTGGAATGGGAGACTGGCAGCCAGTTAGTTGCCTGCGGGCCTCGCATGTTGGGGACCCCTGAACTATATAGAGCAAAGTTTCTCCAGACATTTTCCCGTGGCTCCCGCATTTCAACAAAAAAGCTTTCTTTTTTTTTTGCTTTGTGTTTTAAAAGAAAGTTAAAACTATCCTTGAATTAAAAAAAAAAAAAAAAGATCAGTGTTAATGGCACCTGAAAATTGTAAGATTTCTTGAGATTTTATTAATAGGATTTTCAAATCCTCATGGAATTTCGACGTAGCCCCGCCCGTTTCGGCGCACCGATTGCATGAAAGTGCAAGAACGGAGAAAAACGCTAGCAAAAGTGAGGTCATCAGCGGGGTCGGGTTCCGAATTTATGAGACAAGCGCCTACAGAAGTGTGCTCCTAACTATGATTAGGAAAAGGTGCTTCAGCTTTCCTTTAATTACTTCTGTCTTGTTGCTTGTCCATGATGGAGACCTGAGACTCTATGGTAAAGCAGCTCTGCAGACCCCCCTCCACCCCTTTTACACGCACACCTCATCCAAATGATTACTGCCTCCCCCATCCTCCTCCAAGCCTGATCTACATAGAAAACAAACGAAGCATTTTTTTTAAAACATTTCTTATTTAGGTGCATGAATTATTGAGCACCTCTCGTATGCCGCTTACCAGAGTGACACATGATGGATAGAGCACATGGCTGCCGAGGTCGACATTTAGAAAAACCAAAACAAGAAATAGTAACCTTTCACACTTGTGGTTTCAATAGGCCTGTACTTTTTCAGTCTTCCCTTCTTAACCTCCTTGCTCTCCAGGTTGCTTTCCGATAACTACTCGGGTGGCTCAGGTAGCACTGCTTGAGTAACACATTGGCCTGCTGACCTTCGTAACACCATTTGGGTAACTCTGGTGGCGTCCGTGGGGTGGCTTGGATAACACCACTCGGGTGGCTCGGTTAACACCACTTGATGCTGGGGGTAAACACGGGAGCAGAATGGGGCAGATCCAGAGCACTGACATTAGGGAGTTTTAAAATTGCCTAAAATTGCCGCGAGCTAGACAAGAA